CCTCCTCTTCCTCTTCCACCTCCTCCTCATCTTATCAGTCTGCTGCTTCGTGATAATAGAATTGCTCTTCATACCAGTCGTAACAAAATTAATAGCATCGGTTCTGCCAGTACTACTATTACGCAGGCAAACAAGGCCACAGAAGGCAGCACGAGACGGGTCGATGCGATGCTAAACAATTGGCCCGACCAGTGCTTGGAATCTGGGCTTCTTCCAGGGGCTCCAGGCAAATTGGACGTGCGGGCGAGGGCTTCGCCCAATGCCCGTCGTGGCCGCCCCCGTGGCGGCTCTGCGTTTGGGAGATCGCCGTCTGGCGCGGCGGCCTCGGCAAACGCATCGGACGCTGTCCTCAGAGTGCCGCTGCTAGGCGGGCCAGACCTCCCTCCCCACGGGCAGGGGCCAGGGAGGGGGGGGGCAAGGAAGTGCGCATTGGATCGAGGAGAATGTAAAGAGGCGGCTGATGCCAGGGGACCGGGGCGAAAGCGCCTGGGAGGAAAGGGGGCATGGTGAGGGGCAGGAGAGGGCCGAGGGGGCAAAGGGCGTGATTGGAGCTTCCGAGCCACTCCCAGTAGCCCTCCTCCTCCTGCTCATCCTTCTCCTCCTCCTCCCCATGTTTCTTCTAAGCCCCCCCTTCCGCCTGCCTCCTCCCCCCCCTCCCTTTCCCCTCGACTTGTCCTGGAGAGCGTTTCGAGCAGGATTTCGGGACGGATCCAGCCGTGACGAGGAGGGAGCTCCCAGGCACCCAGAAGCCCGACAAGTTCAAATAAAGCATACGTCGAAGGGCATCCCTTCCTCATCGCCCCCTCCATCCTCCCCATCCTCCTCTCCATCGGCTCGCCTCCTCCTCCCCCCCTTCTCCTCCTCCTCTCCTCCTCCTCCATCCTCCTCCTCCTCTTCCTCATCCATCCTCCTCCTCTCCTCTTTCTCATCCTCCTCCTCCGACTCCTCCTCCTCCCTCCTCCTCCTCCATCCTCCTCCTCCTCGCTTCCCTCCTCGTCTTCCCTTCTCCTCCTCCTCCTCCTCCTCCTCCTCCTCCTCCTCCTACCTCCTCCTCCTCCTCCTCCTCCGCCTCCTCCTCCTCCCCTCCTCGTCCTCCTCCTCCTCCTCGTCCTCCTCCTCCTCCTCCTCCTACTACTACTACTCCTCCTCCTACTCCTCCTCCCCGTCATCATCATTAGCAGCAACAGCATCAACCTCGTCATTACCAGAATCATCGTCAGCATCACCACCACCACCACCATCATCATCAGCAGCAGCCCAAGCATCAGCAGCATCAGCCGCATCATCAGCATCGTCGTCATCATCATCATCATCATCATCATCATCATCAGCATCGTCGTCATCATCATCATCATCATCATCATCATCATCATCATCATCATCATCATCAGCATCATCATCATCAGCATCATCATCATCAGCAGCAGCAGCATCAGCACCATGGTCATGATCATCAGCATCATCATCAGCAGCAGCATCATCAGCATCAACAGCATCATCCTCAGCAGCATCATCAGCAGCATCATCAGCATCATCATCAGCAGCAGCATCATCAGCATCAAGGGCATCATCCTCAGCAGCATCATCAGCAGCATCAGCATCGCCATCACCGTTCTCATCATCAGCAGCAGCAGCATCATCGTTATCATCCTCATCATCCTTATCATCAACAGTATCATCATCAGCAGCAGCATCCTCACCATCAGCATCGTCATCATCAGCAGCAGCATCATCATCATGTTCATTCACATGATAATCATCATCACCACAACTTCCGTCTGTACATCCATCCATCCATCCATCCATCCATCCATCCTCATCATCACCATCACCAGCAGCATCCGCATTAGCATCAGCAGCATCAGCATCATCATCATCATCATCAGCATCTTCATCATCATCATCATCATCAGCATCAGCATCATCATCATCATCATCATCATCATCATCATCATCATCATCATCATCATCATCATCATCATCATCACAATCACAGCCAGTATCGCCAGCATCATCCTGATTATCCTCATCACCACCATCACCATCATCAACAGCAGCATCATCACCAACGTCATCCTCCCTCCGTCCGTCCCCATCCTCCCCTTTCCACCAGGTCATCCTGCTCATCCCCGCCATCATCCTTCTCTTCCACCTCCTCCTCCTCCTCCTCCTCCTCCTCCTCCTCCTGGAGCCTCTGGTTTTCAGACCCCACGGCCCCGCCACTGCATCCCTGGGGTGGTCGCGCAGCAGGTGGTGCAGCTTCTTCTCGGCGTACTTAGAAGGTTCCTCGGGACGAACTGGACGAGGGAAGGCAAGCCTGAAACCCATTCAAACTACGCTTGGTCGTTGAGGAATGATGGGCCGCAGCCCGACATTGCGCGATGACGGACAAAGCTTGAATGTAACAATGGAGCATGTTGGGCCTCTTGGGAGCGTCCTTGGGACTTTTCGGATGCCTCCTGGGGATTCTTCGGGGGCTCTTGGGGCGGAAGGCTCGAAATGTCGGTGGGTGCTCTCCCTCTCGGGAGCCTCTCGGGGCCGCCTTGGGGCCCATTTGGCCAACTTGGGGGCCTCTTGAGTCGTATTGGGGCCGTCTTGGGTTGTTTTCGAGCGCTTTCGGCAGCCACTGGGACCGTCTTGGGGCGATTTGTTTTGAAGGGGCCCCAGGACACACAGATTGAATACACACAAATAAAAATATTCCCCGTACTCTCCCATATTTTCTGGGTGTTTGTCTTCCCCACCACTTCCCATATTTTCCAATATTTTCTGAGGGATCGACGATTAATTGTGTCTGTGTGTTTTTCCCCTCCTGATTGTTTGGCCTCCTGGGCCGTCCTGGAGCGTCGGAGGCCCGAGAAAAGGCGAGGACACGAACACGCCTGTACCAACTGGATCAACATGATTGATGTCCGCGTCTTGGGTCTCCTCTTGGAGCCGTTTCGGAGGAGGAGGAGGAGGAGGAGGAGGAGGAGGGAGAGGAGGGGGGGAGGGGGGGGAGGAGGACGGGGAGGAGGAGGAGGAGGAGGAGGAGGAGGAGGAGGAGGAGGAGGAGGAGGAGAAGGAGGAGGAGGAGGAGGAGCCCTCTTGGGGCGTTTCGGGAGCTCCTGAGGCTGTCTTGAAGGCATCTTGGGCTGCCTCAGGGCCCTCCTGGAGCAAGCCGCTGTGCAAATGCGCGCGAGGCGTCTGAGAGGCAAGAGATCGAAAGGAAAAGCTTCTCCCAGGTAGAGGCGCTCCCCCTGGGGAGGTGGGGGGTCACAACCCGCAGGGCCACCCCGAGCCCCGCCCCCTCGGGACCCGTCCCCCCGCGGACTCTCCCCAGGAGTCTCCCCCTATGGACCCCCCCCCGAAGCCACCCCTCACCGGGGAGGGATCAAAGGGAAGGAGCTCCTCTTCGACTTGAGTACGACGTTGCTCGATTTCCATCTGCTGGAACGTTTGAGGACGAGGGCCCAGGGACAGGGGGGGGGCGGCAACGACGGCGGCGGCGACGACAACTCAAACGTCAAGCCTCTCACACACGACGACAGGGTCGGCGGATTGCCACCAGCACCAAAATCTGGGATCGTCCCAGGTGGCAACAGACCCCCCTGTGCTGGTGTCGTTGCCCACTTCCGAGCCTCCAGCACTCTGCCGACGGCAGGTGGCGTCGACCTGCGTCGCACCCGGATGCGGCTACTGTGGCGTCAACCCCCCGTGCCACCACGCCCGACGAAGGGCAACCCACTTCTTGCGAGGCCAATGTGTATACACCACCACCGCCCGCAACAGTAATTTTCCGCGGGCTTTCACCAGAGCAAAACTGCACCAAATCGCATCGTATATTCTTCTCGATCTTGGTGGTGGTAGTCAGATACTGTGCTCGGACTTCTTCCCCCCCGCGCGATGCCCCCCTCCCCCACGCGTTTAGATCCACTTGGAGCAGCCGCTGGCGGTGCCGTGTTTGATGCCGTCGGTGCCGACGGTCGGCGGCGAGCCCAGGGGGGAAATGCGGAGGGGCGCGCCATCTCAGAAGGCTTGGAAGTTCCCCGACCTTCAGAGGTTCGAACTTCGAGGTTCGAGGTTTTCGGGCGTTTTCGTCGGTTCCCAGCGGTTTTCCAGTCTCGGGATGCTTGCCAGCAGCTGCGCCTCGCCGAGGGCGTTCCGGGGATGCCGGGATCGTCCCGAACGGCTGCCGGAGACCCGAATTTTGAGCCCAAAACCGACCTCGGTGGCGCGCCCGGGGGGGGAAGTGAATAGGAGAAGGCCTTCTCAAACGTCTCGGAACTCCAGCGGCCTTCCGAGAAGTCTTCTGAGCCTTCCCCGGAGACACAGAAAACTTCTCAGAAGGCGCGAGGGCTTCTGAGAAGTCCCGCCGCCTTCTGAGAAGGCGCTCTCCTTCTCACTTCCCCCCCTCGCCCGCCGCCGAGGACGGAGTTGGGGTAGTGGCTGGAGCTCGCGCCTCCTGGTAGGACGCGCAGCGTTCTGTCATAGGCAGCAGCTGTAGGTCGCTGGTCCGTCTGGGTGCAGACGGGGTGCCGTCCAGGCTGGGTGGTCGCCTCAACATGCTTTCATCGTCTGTGTGGCCGTCGAGGCTTGGTGGAGGCCGCCGTCGCTGTCATCTGGCGTCGTCGGCACTGAACGAATTAAAAGTCCAGGCATTCGGATTGAAGCATTGAGAATTGAAAGCATTGGAACTTGAAACTCTCAACTCTGATGTTGCGAATTTACTAATGAAAACGTAAAATGATTCAATCCTGGGGTCACGGATGAAAGCCTGAAAAGTTGAAACATCTGTGTTGTTTCATGGTTTCGATGTTGCATTCTGGAGAGGTGCGGATTTTGCAGTCCAGGCGCACATTCGCATCTCATAGTTGATTCCTTCCTTGTTCTTTTCCTCTGCCTTTCCATGCTTGCTTTCCTGTCTCCCGCGACCCTGGCGGTCGAGTCAGGCGGGCAAGCCCTGCCAGGTCGGGCGGGCCGGGCGGGCGGGGCGCATCGGGCGAGCGGGACATGAAAGTGCAGAGCCCTATCGAGTCTGGCCGGGCTCGACGGGGCAAAGGGCGGGGCGGGGCGTCGGGCGGGCGGGACGTTGCCATGCGGGCGGGCGGCATGGCAGGGCGAAGGGCCAATCTCGCATTCCGCGCGCGCGAGGGTGCGGTTTCATGGAGGAGGACGTGGAGGAGAAGAAGGAACGGAGGAGAAGGAGGTGGAGGAGGTTGAGGAAGAGAAGGAGGAGGAGGAGAAGGAGGAGGAGGAGGAGGAGAAGGAGCAGGAGGAGGAGGAGGGGCCTCGTTGGCGAGCGGGACACTCCAGCGGGGGCGAGTGGGACCTGCAGGTGTGCACCTTGCTCGAGCGCGGCCGGCGGAGAGAGGGGCCCAACGGGCGGAGAGCGGGCCGGGCCGGGCGGGGCATCATATAGGTGTTCTTTTGGCGGCGCGCACAAGGGGGGAGGGCTGCCCCCTCCCCCCTCCCCCCCTCCTCCCTCCTCCCTCCTCCTCCCCTCCCTTCCCTTCCTCCTCCTCCTCACTCCTCCTCCTCCCTCTCCCACTCCCCCTCCTCCCCCTCCTCCTCCCCTCCTCCTCCTCCTCCCCCCCCCACCTCCCTCCTCTCCTCCTCCCCTCCTCCTCCTCCTCCTCCTCCTCCTCCTCCTCCTCCTCCTCCTCCTCCTCCTCCTCCTCCTCCTCCTCCTCCTCCTCCCAGATGGGTGTGTGGGGAGGGGGGAGGACAGCGAGGACAGTGCCGAGAGCGTGCAGGTGAATCACGAACACGCCTCGAAAAAAAGAACGAGAGAGGGCCCACATCCAACAAGGGGCGCTCTCCGCGCCGTGCGCGGGGCAGGGGAGCAACGGTGCGAGGGTCACTAACGGCGCAACGCCGGGCAGTCCCCACTCGCACCGCGCCCCCCGCCCGCACCCGCCCACTATTCAGGTGCCTCGGGCTCGGGCGCCTGCTGAGCATCGCAGGCACCCCGAGCTCCGAGAAAACAAGCGGCTCGAGGGGCTCGCCCGCCTTGGGATGCAGGCCCCTTCGAGCCAGCTCGAGCATCGACGCGATGGAGGCCAAGACAGCCCGCTGCACTTAAGGGGCCCTTAAGTGCAGCGGATCTGCTCCTTCCGTGCGCGGGGCTGGGGAGCAACGGTGCGAGGGTCACTAACGGCGCAACGCCGGGCAGTCCCCACTCGCACCGCGCCCCCCGCCAGCACATCCGCCCACTAGTCAGGTGCCTCGGGCTCGGGCGCCTGCTGCGGCATCGCAGGCACCCCGAGCTCCGAGAAGACGAGCGGCTCGAGGGGCTCGCCCGTCTTGGGATGCAGGCCCCTTCGAGCCAGCTCGAGCATCGACGCGATAGCTCCGTCCCCCCCACTCCCAGCTCCCGCCGACCCCGTCCCAGCCCTCTTGCACGCTCGAGACAGGCCGACCGACAGCCGATTGGGGCGCACAGCGTGCGCCCCGCACTTAACACAGATCAAAACTCGATCCAAGGCCTGGACCTGGTGTCCTGGCCCGACCTCCTGGGGGTCGCAAGCACGGGAGGCCAGAGACTTCAACGACGAGGCCGTCGCTGCAAGCCTCCAGCAGGCTCGACATCGAATAGCTCCCCCAGCGAAGACCACAAAGTCGTGATCGGTCGGCCGCCGCGGACGGCGGGGCCGAAAGACAGCCTTCGGAGGCGCACGGGGTATCGGGGTGGAGAGGCGGGCCACGCGCTCGGCAGCCCAGGCCAGACAACGCATCGTGTCCTGGGCCCGAAGCAGATAAAATTTGTGAGCCTTGACCACGGAGGTGGATCCAAGGAAATCAGCCGCTGCCACGCGGGCGAAAACATCAGCCCACATATTACCGAAAAAAATGCTCCAGGGGCTCCTGGGAGGCCAGGCAGGCCTCAAACCCCTCGAGGACGGTCCGATGGGCCTTCGTCCAAACAAACACGGGCCTGACAGGGTCGCCTCTATACAGCTCGTGGATGCTCCGCCAGATGGACGCGTGAGGCGCTCTGGCAGAAGCATGACGACCCTCCCAGGCCATTCCCTCGACCTGCAGCTGTAATGATCAGTCACGTACGTGGCTGGCCTCTGGGCCCTCTGCAGGGCCTTGAGACCAGCAACGCGCTCGGCCCTGGGCACCGTCTGGATAGGGCCCCCCAGGCTCCCGAACAAAGCTTTGTATGGCCACAGGTCTCGGGTCAATGCTACGACGGCCCAGCCACAGCGCCGTTCCTCAGGGAAATCACTTTCAAGACAGGACCCGTCCCCGTACAACTTCGACGGCCACGGCATGTCGATCGCCCCCCACTCGCGCTCAGC